TTGCCTGTGGTGACAAAGCATATTGGTTGATGCATCCCTTGCTACTTCTAAGTATGCATCCAAGTGAGTTTGGTGGTATAAACTAGTATTCCTCAAACTTTTTGCAAGCCTAATACCTTTTTCACCGCAGCTGTCTTCTTGAGATAACCCTGCTACACCCTTTATACTTTTAGTTGCTGGCAGCATCTCAGTTCCTAAAAGTGGGATAGGAGAGACAGTTGCAGAGGTTCACTTTTTTTGCCCTGCTCTGGATTAATACAGCTGCTACTGGCAATCACTCAGCATAGCTTCATTTCCCTGGTTTTCTTCTCAAGGTTTTAATGACAGGAAGAAAAGTAATAACCAACACGCATACCTCTCAGAAGTTTTTATAACACCTCTGAATTTTTTCTTAAGATTTTTCTAATCTTCTGTGACTCACTTTGAACTTTTTTTGTGGAAGCCTTCAGGATTTCAAATCAGTGCTTCCCTTTGCACACACAGAGCACCTGTATTACTTGGTGGACTCCAGCCTCAGATGTTTGTTTCCATCCTTCCTGAAAGCTGCTCACGTGTCCTTTCTGCATTCTCTGGCATAGCAGAGCAGTGCATCCATCCTTTATAGTCCAGGCACAAAGACAGATTTACTGAAATAAGAGAAGTCATTCAAAGCTTGGGGTTTTTTTTGAACTATACTGGATGATTGAAAAGAACTCTATAGAAATATTTCAAAAAAACCCCTACAATAGTTTTCCTCAGGCCACCTGTGGCATATGTGAACCAGACAAACTGGTTTGTTTTCAGTCATTTCATTTTGAAAGGTTTCTCACCAGCAGTACTCACAGAGGTTCATCCTTCTCAGATCGCCTGAAACCAAATCAGAAGCTACTTTGTTGTTTAAGAATCATTACTTTAATTTCTATCTCACTTAAAGCACATATTTACTCTCCAGTGGTTCAAACTTAAACAAGTACAATGGAGCTTGAAGCAGAAGAACAGCATGAAGCCCATAATAAAACCATACCAATTTTGTGGAGTCCTGTTTTTTGTTCAGGGAGATGGTTTGTGTTCACATAAAGGCATCTTTATTATTTTGTCTTTTAAAAGCTGGTTGCTACTGAAATGCAATTCACTCCTCTTTTCAGGAAGGTCAGTACTGCAGATCACTAAAGAGTGCCATATTAAAACAAAGCATCTGCTCTTCACAAGGAAACCTAGAGGTAGGTGTCAACCAGCATCAAAATTTGAAGCAGTGTCTAGGGCAGTCTCCCTTCTCTCCTGTCTCTCCCTTGACCTTTTTGTCAGTCAGGGGACTCATGCTGCCAGCTGACCTAACCCTTGGGAAATATATTCCAAGTGCTGAGAGCTCCTTGTCCTTTCCCTCAGCCTGGCTTAAATTAGCCTCATCTGTTTCCCTCCAGTTCTTCATTTGCACGGAAGTGCACTGGCAAGCCCTGTGCCTAGCAAGAGTTGCTGCTCTGAACTGATTTGAGGTTAATTTCCTTTGCCCTGTGCCTCATAGCCATGTGAGTTGAGCAGAGGTATCACTAGGAACTATGCACAAGATCGCTGATGATGCAGACTGGAAGGGACTTCAGGAGGCCTTTATTCCAACCTCCTTCTCAAAGCATGGTCAACATCAATTTCATATCACACATGACTGATCTTATTCTTAATCTTTTCCTTCTCTGATTATTCTTCAAAAAGAATTATTTGTAACTGTTGAGACTGGTCATCTCCTCTTCATAAATGTGGTCAAGCACGCAGGACAGCAACAATTGCTATTCAGCAGCTATTTCAGTTGCATGGGTTAGATTTCCTACCTGTGACCCACTGGAGAGACTGACTTTTAAAGCAAAATGTTCACATCAGAGATGTATGAAATGAGAGTCTCAAGTTGGCCACAAATAACTGAGACAACTGTGATAATTGCTTGCTCTTGAAAATTTTTCACAATCTCTCCAATAAAACTCCTTTCCTCTGAGTTACTACAGAAAAAATGCTGCAGGTTGTGTCAGGTCTTTCATTTCTTTTAGTCCCACACAGAGTGTTCAGAGGTGGTAAATAGAGAACTGTGTCTTACTGGGTACAGGTATAGATGGTAACTATTTTGAGAACAGGTAGCTGGTTTGATTCCGGACCCCAAATGCTTTACAAATTGTACGTCTGAGGCAAAGGATTCTTGCAAATCTGGTGGGAAGAAGCTTCAATTATATATAGTCATGAACAGTGCCCAGTAAAAAAAGCAGTTTTGATGTATTGTGTTGTTTCTAGCAGGCAATCTATCTCTTATCATAACCCCAAGACATCTATGTAATGAGGTCATGTTCGAGTATACGACCCTGTCAATTCTGCAAATAACTGACAAAATCCTATGCACACTTCTGCTATATCTCATTCAGTAGGGAGCATTCCTGGTTTGATTAACCTAAGAGGGAAGCACTATTATCTCTGGGACTATTGTTCTGTTCTGTAGAAGGGATTTTTCATTATAAGTAGTAGATATTTTTAAAAAAAGACATTCTAAGCAAAAAAGAAGTTACCTTTCTTCCTCTTCCCTGTAACTTTTTCAGAGACAAAATTACATCCCTGACTATACAATTCCTCGTGTTTACTCATTGCCAAGAGAGATGTTTCAAAAGGACGTTGCTTTTAGAATAAAAAAGAATGCAAGAGACTCCATATAAGACAATTCCACACTTTTTTGATCTATCAGTTTTGAAAAAGGAAATCTTCCAATGTGAAATTCACCCTTTTCTCACCACATCTGCCAAGGCTCTGTGATTAAAGTGATTCAAATGGAGATGCTTTAGCTTTTTTGATTCAGAGCTGTCTCCATTTCAAGTGCTCACATGCTTCTTCTCATAGTATCTTCTTGGGTTTTCACTGACATTGATCACCTACCAAATTATACCAGCGGACTAATACAATGATTTTGTGAGTAAGGTGGGTAAATCTTCTCTGAAGCTGCTGAATACCACCCTATGTGTTCACCTTGATGTGAAGAACAGCTCTTCTGGGTTTGCATTTAACTGATGTCCTGTCATGTTGGCCAGGTCCTTTCTGCTTCAGGAAAGATGACACATCATAACAACACTCTTGAAGCAAAGCCATAGTAGTCTTATGGCACTTTCTGAAACACTGGAAATGGCTACTGAGCTGTTTTGGGCAAAGTCACATAGGTATGATTTCCCACTGTAATCCTAGGTAGGTGCAATATCTCTTGTAACCCTAGTGATGTATTGCATCTCCATGATTGTATGCTACCAAGAGATTTTAGAAAGCAATTCTTCAGGATGTATACATAAATACTAATTTATCTTTTTTTCACATCTGCATCTTGTACCTGTTTTTACGCTAGTAGGTGGCCATGTTTTGCCTCTCAGCCATCATATAGCCCAGTATGCCTCCCAGGCATCATACAGCTGCTCAAGTATCTCTTGTTCTGCCATCTTTGACTATGTGAGAACTCTTCTCATTTTCTGCTTGTCACACAACCACCCACAAGAGCCACAAGAGCCCTTTATCAGTTTTCCATGAGGAACTCTGCAGGTCCTTTTCTTGGTTCCTAACCTTTTCTGCTTTGGAATATCCCTGGTGCCTCTGTCCACCTGTGCATTCTCCTTGGCTTGCTGTGTGAAGGACAGGTCATGAGCCGTCCTCTCTCAGGTGCTCCCAAGAAAGTCTCCATGCTCCTTTCAGGGAACCTCCAGCAGGATTCAAACCTTCCCTGAGAAAACTCCAGGCTGTCCCTGCCTAGTCAGAGCTCAACAACATGTCCTACATGTGCATTACTCTCGGTTGTTCTCCTTCATTTAACTGAAGATATATGCAATGCTACTGAGGTCTCATTGTATTATTCTTCATTACTGATTATTTGTGTTATGTAGTTGAGAGAATAAGGGCAAAGAATAGCAGAAGGGTCTTGCTGTCAGACCAGTAGTCCTGGAGTCAGAGAGATGAGAGCAGTGCTGAGAGGTTGAGCTTGATTTATTGCTTATCAATCTGGGAAGTCAGAAGGCCAGAGAAAGTGAAGAAAGCCAAAAAAGAGAAAGAACAGGGACAGCCCTAGTTAACTTGATAGGCACAGGCTGGGATCCTGTGCTCTACCCCAACAGAGTCAGACATAGTTAACAGTAGAGATGTGACACTGTGCCATTATATGCATCAAACACATATATAATGTCTTTAAACGATAAATTAATGAGAAAAAAAGCATCACTTGATTTTTTTCTTTGCACAATAGCATATGGTTAACACTACTGAGAACAAGCATTTTTATATATATGGGATTCTTCAGGAGGAAATTTCCTACACAAATTCATAATATTGCAATGGCTGGAGAAAGAGATGGAATGTTTCAGAGCTCATATGCATTGCTAACAAGTGACCTTCTTTGTTAGCTGGTTTAATAAGACTGACAAACAGAGTTTTAGTGCAACTTCCCTACTGATAAATCCATAAGAAAAATGTCAGTGGTTGATGTGTTGTGGCAAAATGTATTCATCTTCTTTATAAGCCTTGAGCTGCCAGTCTTTTTCATGCACAGCTAGCAAGAGCAGATTTGATTAAGTGATCCAGAAGGCTCAAGCCACTATATTAGTTTCTTTTTCATGAACTTTACTGAAATCCCCCTGATCAGGAATAAACACAATTACTCAAACTGCCTTTTGAAAGGCATGAATGGCTGGGGCCAAATGAGTCATGTCAGACTACAACCATAAAAGCAAAGTATGAAAAGATGCAATTTATCACACACATTGTAACCAGTCTCCTTGGATAGGCTCTCTTCAGATTTCATTAAGAAAATTCTAACAAGTGACTGTCATATTTCTACATTTAGTCTCATTTTTTCTCTATCCCCCCCCGCCCCCCAACTTTATTTTTCCCTGGGAACAGAACACCCAGAAAGTATGTTTATTTTCTGTTTAAAGTTTTTGCATGTTCCTGCCAGTGGAAGTCTGTTGAAAATGAATTAAAGACTTCTTGTGAAAGTTCATGTTCAGGACTTTACCACTTACCTCATGTGGACGTCCCCATAGGATTCCTGGTTCCATTACACAGGGTGCTATGTAAAATTGGAGGAGGACAAAGTAGTCTTCCTAGTTCATAAGATAAAAACCTATGAGCAGCTGGTGAATCAGTCTGGCTTTTGGATACCTTGTGCACATATTGCCGTAGTTGTAATTACATTCTCCTAAACAGGCGCCTGCCTCTCTCCTCCCCACAGACAACTTCGGGATGTTTAACAATATCTCAAGGTAAATAGAGCAACGGAGGCAGGAATAGCCTTCTCAGGCAGGCCACTTGTGCAGAGACACTCTGCTCTCTGTATGCCAGAGATTATACCAAAGTACTCTTGCAAATGGATTGGAAAAGCCCCAAAGGTCAAGCACTATTTTGAGGAAATCCAGAGGGATATTACCTCTGCCTGATGTCAGTGCTGGATAAGACAGACACAGACATGCAGACTCCTCTTCCTCTGAAGACCTTTGAGGACACCTGCCTCATCCTCTGTGCTCTAGGTGGGGAGCTCTGGCACTTATTTTAGGGGCTAATTCAAGCACCTACATTCCGAATGTGAAATGGATCCCTCCACTGCTTTTGTATTTATAGCCAAGGGCAGTAGGAATGAACCAGCTGAGTCATATCCCAGCAATTTGAACTTTACTTCTACCTGGCAGGCTGTCTTGTTGCTATTTTGAAGCAGGTCAGACCCTTCTGGAAGCATTTCTATAGCACCAATCATTATGCAATTCTGCATGCGAAAGCTCACAGAAAGCACTGCAATATTCAAATACTGTGGGGGGGTTTATCTCATGTCAAATATAAAATATACAACTATTTAAACAAGCGGATAGTTTCTCAGTCTAATATGTGACTAATTTTTGTAAACCATTTATTACGCAAGTCTGTGCTTTAATTTAATTTCTGTGCCTCATTAAGGGTTTTTGACTTCAGTCCTGATAAGAACTGTTTTTTATTCTTTGAAATGATGTTAAGAAAATATTCAGCTCTTACAGAGGAATTAGGAAAGAAAATAAACCGTTTTCCTAGTTTGAATAGATATTTAATTAAAGTGACGTGCCTTGGGCAAAAATCTAATTAATACATCATCTCTCTATAACTAAAATTAATGAAAGGATTATGACTACTGAGCTGCAGAAGGGACTGAAAATTTCTTTCCTCTCTTCTTACTCATTTTTTCTCTGACTATCCATCATTATTTTCTCATTGGAAGAGGGAAGCTTTTTACCCGATCATTCAATTTTAATGTGTACTGATGGATAATTCCCTGCTAGCTCTGCTGCTCCACCAACTTTTCCATTTTGATCACTTCCATGATGACTTGTAGCCTGAGCAAATGCTATAGTGAGGCTTTGCAGTGGAGGTAGTTGTGGTGGTACAACTTCCCCCAGCTCTGGGGCCACTCAGTCCTTGGTGTGATTCCCCCCTCCCCAGGCCTCATACCAACCTAAAATGGATTGGGAAAGGCAGTGGACCAGAGCATTAAGGCACCCCCTTAACAATCACCTGGCTCCTGCCTCCCCTACTGCTTGGGAACAGTAATGACAATCAATCACCTCCTGGCAGCCCAGTACATACGTTCCTGGGTTGTGGCCCAAAGTGGGTGATACCAGAACTTCAAGATCTAGCAAGTTCTGTGCCTGTGCAACTGGTGGAACGTACTAGAGTATTTCATCATTCAAGTTGAGCTGAAATGGAAAAGTACCTGATGAAAATCTGTTATCTCGGTCCCTATAAATGGTGACCATAAGCAATTTGAACTCTCCTGGATAGCAGTGGGCTGTGACCAGCATCTCTCCTAAGTTGGGATGCCTCTGAGGCATAGACTCCTTGAGGTTTAAAGGCTGTCTGTCAACAAAACCACTGAAGGTCCAGGGTGAAGTCAGACTTCTCGAGTCTCAGTTGTTACCTGCTGAAGAATGTCAATGCGTTGTGAATATTTACTCTAAACTCAAGAAGAGGGAAATTTTAACCATAGGCTAGCATCTTCCATCCACCTCTCTACCTATCTATGTGCTTGAATATGCACATTTGCCTTCATGAGTGTGGGTGTCTACATTTTTTCACTGGATCTAAACATTTCTCTGTGTGTGTGTATGCTTTGTGGTTATACATATGTGCATATATATATACTTTGATTTAGGGTGCCTTGTAGTAAGTTAGTGTGAATCTTGTCATTCTTGATTCTGTAACTAAGTTGCTGTTTTAATTATAATATATTCTACCAAATCATCTCATTAATCTTCAAAGTGGTCACTAAGTGCTCATAAAATTCAACCTTTGGATCAACCTCACACCATTAATAAACCTTGTACAGCTGCTAATCATAACTGTCTCAAATAGTTAATCTGTGACAATAGTAAATGCTCAGTTCAGCCAATATTTGCACAGACAGATAGTTTTCCTTGTGGAAGGCTCATCCATGGGTGCGCTGACCAGTCTGTGGAATGTGCTGCCTCCTGCCCTCTTCCAAGATGGCATACATTTGGTTTCTGCTGGTGTGGGCAGTTTCCTGGGACTGCAGGGTATAAAGCTGCTCTCCCTGGGATGGGCTTATAATAAACTGAGGGGGCAGGGAGAAGTGTACATCCTTCTGGCAAACACAGTGGCTATCTCATGGCGAGGCAAATGAACATGTACATCTTTAATGCTCCAGTCACAAGACTTTGTCTCTTCCCTCTGTGGCAATGAAACCAGTAGTACCTGTTTAGTAATTAAGATGACAGAAGGTGTCACACCATCACCACTTTGTGTGAGGTAATGCAGTAACTATTAACACAGCCGTACAGGACACCGACTTTGTGGATGACACTTTTTTTCTGTGGCATAAGCCTAGTCTAGACATTCCCTTCTTTGCATACCTTCTTGAAAGCAACTGTTTTGAAAGAGTTTCACCACCATCATGCCTGTCTCTTATTTTCTCCATCCTCTTCCTGTTCCTCCTAACTCCTGCCCATTGTTATCATATAACCAGCTTTCCCACCATTCTGCCCTTTCTGTGTGGAGTGAGCTCCTCTGTTTACAATGGTGAGAATAATTTCTTGTCTTGGCTCTTTTGGTGCTATCTACTGCTGTCAGGTTGCCTGTGTGTATCAAACCCCATTTATTTGTTGAACCAACGTGTTGTTTTCTGCACCATTTCTGCTCTGTCCCTCAGATGCTTTGTTTCATCTTCTACTCCTTGAAGTGGTCTGTAAACTCCTCAGGCTGATCATCTTTTCTGTCTGATTTAATTTTTATAGGCTGTAGAGAAACAGGAGCTGATGGTATTGACACAAGTCCAAAATGTGCCAGGATGAGACTAACCCCCCAGAGTGGCCAGATGTTGATGATGAATAGTTGAACTAGATCTGTTGTGTGCTGGTGCTCTGTAAAGATTCTGAATAAATGCATGTCTGCGATGCCATGGCAGGAAGTCTTTGCATGAGATGAACTGGGTAGGAAGATGAGAAGAGCAGGACATGAATGAGAAAAATGGAAAAGCTGACATGTCTTGCAGCATGAAGAGGTCATGCTTGAGGGTGAACGACAGTGAGTGGAGAGCACACCAACCCCTGTTGCTGTGTATAAGGAGAGCTGTTGGTATCAATGTGGTGGCAGAAATGTGGGAGAAAATCCTAAGAGGGTTCTCTCCTGCCTTGGACATCATGAGATGAGAGAAAAAGCTGAATTTCTCTGAACAACTTCTGATACTCCTCATGTAGGTTCCTTATTCTTTTTGTGTAGGAAAAAATGGTCATGGAGATAAGTTCTGGGATTTCTGGACGTTAGGGCTAATGGCTGTGGAGAAACTTTGCTCACCTCTCAGCATTGCATTCTGCACCTCTACCTGTAACTGCTGTTCCTTCTCCGCATGTGTGCTTTATGAAAGGGGGATGTGTATTCCCTAGTGCACAGTGCTCCAAAGACACTTCTTCAGAATGAAGAGGGGTGTTCAGGCTAAGACCTCAGCTTTCACAGCAAAAGGAAGGAGGAGGTGAGGAGAGAGGCAAGTCTGAGCACATGGGGAATTGGAGAGGCATCTGGTGACAGAAATAAATGAGTGTCAGAAAGGAAAGGAGGAAAAGAGGGGAAGGGAAAGAAGGCAGAAGGATTTACAGTCAAAAATAAAATCAGAAAGTAGGGATCTAAGAAATATTAAACATAAATATACTGAGGGCTATTGTAGCTTTTCTTACTATCACATTTCTAATTCATGCTGACACAATACTTTGTAGTGAATTTGTTGGATCATCTCCAGACAACAACTCCTAATCTGTTGCTGGAGTTTTTATGAAAGCCTGTGATATTTCTGCCTTCTAGAGGCTGAAGTTCACTTCAGTGAAGATTTGGATTGTCCTCTAAAGAACCTCATGCCTTTCCATTACCCCCCTAATTAAGAAGACTTAAGTTAACTGGAATGAATTGGCACCTTAGTGATGCTTCTCATTAAAGAAGGAAAATAAAGTTCAAGTTTGTAAATCCTGTGATTTAGGATTTAGGATGTTTTGTAACTGGAATGAAGCATCGACGATGGGTTGCTTTAAAAGCATCAGGTTGGGTGTTTTGGGCAATTTTAATCACTGGATGCTGTAAACCATTGTTTCATTCTCCCTCTAGAAGTGGTGTAATTCACAATTAAATTTAGCTTTACTGCCCTGTGTGGCAACTGGAATACCTTGTGTAATGTGGGACTTCAGAAAGTTTAATATTAGTTTCACATTTTCTTCCTGGCTTTTACAGCAGTCAGAGCAGGGCACTCTTGTGCTCTGGCTTCTGTGGCACGCCAACATTTTTTTTCTAAAATTTTATATATGTGTAACATTTCTTAGTTCCTGGATCCCAGAAAGGGTGTGAAACATTCAGCATATGGAGAAGCAGAATTATTAGCACAGCAAAAGTGAGAGAAAGGTTTGCTACTCATCAAAGCTTGCAGGATTAGGCAACGGGTGAAGTGAATACTGATCAACTCCAGGGCTGCATTTCTGCAGTCCAGAAGGCTACAGACATATGGATGGGGTTGTGGGCATAGCAATTGTCTTTGCTGCTGCTCATCCTTCTTCCAGGATCACAGATGTGCTATCCTAACCCATCACAGAGTGGCATGAAGTACTTCACACCCATGGTAATACATAGATCTAGCTTCAGAAAGTGCTAATGAAGAGCCTAACTATTTCTTCCTACAGGTGTGACCAGATAGCAAACTAGAAATGGTCTGAGAAAAGCCAGCAGCAGTGAGATGGAGAAGAGGTGGTTGAGCACAGTGTGAGAAATGTGAGTGGGAACATGTGGAGAGCCAGAGCAGG